GAAATAAAATGAAACTTGGACTAGACTAGCTTTTAGAATAGCTTTTTCAGGGCAGAGATCCAGCCTTGCTGATCACTGATTCTCTGTGGATCAGTTTTTGTTAAACAAATGTTAAGCACAATTAAGGTGAGATACAAGAAATAATTTGAGGCTGTGGCATACAGTTATTTTAGGAGACCACATACATTTTACAGGATCCAGTAGTCTAAAATTTACATGTAGAAATTTATGTTGTATTTTCAGCTGCCTGCTGAAGATGAAGTGTTACTACAGAAATTAAGAGAGGAATCAAGAGCTGTCTTTCTACAAAGAAAAAGCAGAGAACTGTTAGATAATGAAGAATTACAGGTAAGAACTAAGCAAAAAGTTGCTTTAGATGTTAACCATTTCCCATTTGTACTACTTAAATCATGCAAGATTTCTTAGTGCCTAATGGAGTCCATACTACAGAGTGGTACTGCATAGGCTCTGAAGCAGCAGTTCCCACCAGAAACAGCTGCTGAGTTTGCATGGGTCATATACCCCAAAAATAGTGTTGTTTGTTATTGTTGCTTAAGGCTCTAGGTGATTATACTGTGCAGCCAAGGTTCAGAACCACTGCTGTAGGGTCAGACTACAGAGGTTCAAATCCCAGCCCTGCTATACGACTTTAGGCAATGGACTTAACATCTCTGTGCTTGGATTATCATCTCTAAAGTAGGGATAGCTAACTGTATCATAGAGTTATGTGGACTAAAGAGGAAGTGTATATCAAAAGCTTAGTAGGCACTCAATACATGTTATTTTTATTGTTAGTAATCAAAAAGACAATAGGGCATGAGATTCATCTTAATATTGACTGTGCTAACTATCATTTTAGTGGAAAGCACGCATTTAACTACATTTTTAAATCTTGTTTTTAACTTATAACATCTTCACTTCCACAATTCTCTTAAGAACTTATGGTTTTTGCTGGACAAACACCAGACACCACCTATGATTGGAGAGGAAGCGATGATCAATTATGAAAACTTTTTGAAGGTTGGTGAAAAGGCTGGAGCAAAGTGCAAGTAAGAATAATATAATTAACAAAAGAATATGTTATGTTAAGCATTTTAAATGCCTCAAATATTGGCTAGGCACACTGGCTCACACCTGTAATCCCAGCAGTTTTGGAGACTGAGGTGGGAGGATTGCTTGAGCTGGAGTGTTTGAGACCAGCCTGGGCAACTTAGGGAGATCTTGTCTCTACTAAAAATAAAAATATTATCTGGGTGTGGGGGTGTACACCTGTAGCTACTCAGGAGGCTGAGGTGGGAGAATTGCTCGAGCTCGGGAGGATGAGCTGTGATTAAGCCATTGCACTCCAGCCTGGGTGACAGAGCAAGACCCTGCCTTTAAAAAAAATAAATCCTCAAATATTAATTGAAGTAAATGGTATGACATTTGAGTCAATTTAAGTTACTAATGAAATTTAATAAAATTATTTACAGTCAAAAAATCACATTGGTATGAAGTTATTAAATAATTCCATCAAAAAAAAAAAGAATATAGTTTATGACACTTTCAGCCTTAAGACAGACAAAAGCAAACAAAAAAATGCAAGGCCAGGCACTGTGGCTCACATGCCCATCTCTGCAAAATAAAACTTTTAATTAAAAAAAAAAA